CTATCATTTTCAAAGAGGAACAAAAGGTTCCAAAAATGTTTTTACTGCAGGTATTTTAAGCTCCTTTTTGAACTGACAATTCAAGCTGTTATCAAGCTGTTATATGCTGTTATCTTACCTGTTATCATGTATTTGTAATATATATATATATGTTCTGAAGAAATCCACCAGGAAGATTTCAGTGTGATGGGATTCTATCTTTTTACTAAAGCTCTGCCCTGATGATATTTAGACATTTCCAGAAGAACATTGACAGGTTTGAGAGGGCTCAGAGGAGAAAAATGAAGATGACATAGGAATTTAATGATGAGGCTTATGAAGATAGGCTGAAGAAACTTTGGACTTTCACTTTGAAAATGGAGAAGAGCCATAATAGGCATATTTGGATACATAAAGGGAAGTTGCAGCCAACAAATATTTTCCATAATCACAGAAACCAGGACCTGAAATAAATAAAGATTTTGTTTGAATATAAAGAGCAACTTTCTAATGGTAGGCTCTGTACAGTAGTGAGAGTGTACCATGGAAGGTGTGAGTTCTTCATCTGCTAAGATTTTTAAGAAGTGGGTGAATAGCCACATCTCATGGATGATTTTAATTATTTTCCTACACATTGCAGAGGATTGAGCAGAAAATGATCGTTGTGGTACCATTCAAGTCAGTAATTGTATGATTCATTTAGAGAGTGACTTAAAAGTTAAATTAACTCTTTTTCCACAAGAAATTGGATTTAGAGTAGTGTTTGAATGACTGTTCCTTTTGATACAGAATAATACGTACATTTGGCTGATCACTACTTTAAATGCACAGTCAGTTGTTACTCTTCCCACTGAAATGTATTTGGTTGTAACTCTTTTATGCTTGAAAAATTGAAGACAATTTGTTGGTTGAAGCAAAGAATCAGTGACACCTTGACTGGACATAATATTTCTCTTGAATGTCCAGCCAATACACTAGATGGAGCTCTATCACTCAGATCTTTCACTGATTTTTCTGCTGCACATGAATGACTGTTACATATTTATAACAAAAATAGCATAACATAGTATCACATTTTTAATGCTCTAGAACAGAGTTTCTCAAGTTTGGCAACTTTAAGGTGTGTGGACTATAACTCCCAGAATTGCCCAGCCATGTTTTTCTCATTAATTCTCCTATGTAAGTGCACAAAAAGAAGATACCTGTTTATACCTTTTCTATAGTGTATATATGTACAAGTATCTGTTTTGAATTGACTGGGACTCTCTGCTAATGGTAGATAAGGAGAGATACCCAAATTGTTTTCTATATCTCAACGCCCCTTGCAAATTTTTTATCTTTTTTTTTTTTTAACTATCATAATTTCTCTTGCATTTGCTGTCTGAACCCAACCCCAGACAATGTGTGGTGGCATTGGACAGGTCATTTTTTATTCTTGGTAGCTACATGGAATCCCATCCTGTTCTTGACAACAATATTGAAGGATTGCCATTGTTCTCTTCAGGGATTTTGTTATTTGATTTGTTTTGTTTTTTAAAAAGCTTGTTCTGGTTTCTCAAATCTTGGTGATCTAATGTCAAAAGTACTAACTAGATCTGAGCCTATTTACTCTAAAGGCCTCATAATCAGCTGAAACTCAGTAGTCCTTGTTTTTTCTTTTTTTATGATTTGGAAGTAGGGATACTTTGATATCTGTTCAAAGTATTAAAATATAAAGGCATGACAAAGAGCACCAAAGGGACCTCTTCAGAGTGGGTAAATGAAGTGTTAAATAGCAAAAAAACAATTCTGAATGACTTGCTGTAAAATTGACTCTAAAAATCTAAAATTCAAATATACATTAATGGACTCTCAGCTGGCACTATGAAAAGAAGAAAAGGAAAAAGAGAGAGGTCCTTGAATACGGGTGGAAATCTCAGCGAAAACAGTGAAAATCAACCCAGTATGTGGTTGCGCTAATAAAGGCCAATTCAGTGCTAAAAGTCTTTAGAAACTGAATTAAATTAAATTGTCAATATAAAAATGCTTTTCTTTAAGTCTGCAATATGACTGCACTTGAAATGTGATGTATAAATTGTGATTGCCATGTTAGAAATAGTATAGAAAAGGGAAAAAAAGTTCCTCAAAGGCCACCCAAGATCATCCGGAAGCTAGAACGGTTCCTTTATTTAAAAAGAGTGGTTACTCAAAAGAACATTGGGTGCTTTTTTACCTGAGTGATGTTGGCTAATACTTAACACAATAATTTCCCAACTCCTTAATTCTAAAGAGCTCAAGGTCAAAAACATTAGTGGCAATTAAAAACATTAGGCAAAGCTGTGGCTGCAGACTTACTCCACAGGTACTTCACAAATCATCTTCAGCTCAGGGAAAGAAAAAAAAAAATGAGTCACAATGCTAAATTGCAGCACCTATAAGCTGATATACTCATGCCCCACAGGGTGAAACAAGATGGTTTTAAACATGAAAAACAAAACAGTACAATGTGCAATGGCACAGAGATTCAGAATTAATTAAAGGAAGTAATACAACACATTATAAAATTATGGAATGTCTTGCTTTCAAATGTGATGATGCACACTGTTTTTATCTCTCTGGCTGTGCTTGGAGCTTTTAAATGTACCTATTTGTTACACTGATTACCAATATATCAGATTAGCCAGTATATAACATAGACTATCATTTGGACTTTTTTGTGTGTCTCCCTCCCTCCCTCCCTCCCTCCCTCCCTCCCTCCTTCCTTCCTTCCTTCCTTCCTTCCTTCCTTCCTTCCTTCCTTCCTTCCTTCCTTCCTGATAGGATCCCCTGTTCTATATTATCCAAAGACTGACAGGTAGACATTTTAAGTAATACTTCACTTGAAAGACAATTTGGTTTGATAAAAAGTGTAATGCTAATAATCTATTAGTGCACACTTTTATCCCAAACCCAACTTCTGTCTCCTCTTTTGTTCCCATTCACTCTATATTTGTTCTATCAATCATAATGTGGATGGGACCAATGAAGAAAGAAGAAACTGAGTGTGGGGTCTCTGCCTGTATAGTTCATATGTTTTATAGGTACATGGTTCAATACTCCATATGATTGTTATGAAGCCAGAGTTTTCTTCAGCAAATCAAGCAATTTTCCTGTTCAGCTCCTCTATTCATGAATGAAACATCTCAGCCAACTTAAGTGACTTTGAAGCAGGATTCAGTTTATAGGGGTAGCTTAATCAAGATCAACATAAGACAGCAGAAGGAACTACTGTTCTGTGTTCAAACAACTGCTAGCTACATTTGAATAGATCTGAGTTATTTAAAGAAAGAACTGATCCAGTAATCAGATTGGATGTGTGGAAGTTTCTTCAGTTATAAATCATAAGGTTAAACCAGGGCTGTCAAACTTGTGGCCTGTGGGCCGGATGTGTCACATGCTGGCCACGCCCACACCTGGTTTAGCGAAGAGGGGGAAGTCCCGATATATCACGTGACGCCGCCGTGACAACGTGAGTTTGACACCCCTAAGTTAAACTATAAAGAAAACCTAGAAAATTCAAGGACTTCCAGCCAGTGCTATCTAATAGGACAAAGCTGGAATAAGAAACAGAACAATATAGTAGTTAAGCTGAAGGACCTGTTGATCCAAAAGGCTTAGTCCCATCTAGTGGAGACTTACACAGTTAATAATAATAATAATAATAATAATAATAATAATAATAATAATAATAATAATAATAATAATTTTATTTCTATACCGCCCTTCTCCCAAAGGACTCAGGGCGGTGTTCAGCCTGATTAAAAGCACAAAGACAGACAAAATTTAAAAATAATTAAAATTATTAAATAATTGACTCAATTATAAAACCCACAAATTTAAAATTCCACATTTAAAACCAATTAAAATCCAATTATAGTCTGTATACTATATTTTCACAAACTGTTGCCTTACCAGGGAATTACTAAAATATGTGCTGCCCTGTAGCAATATACATACTGTATATATACGCACACATATATATGGTTAGTAGGCTGTTCACAGACTGAATCCACATTTCTTTAGTGAAAAGGATAATCAACAGAAAATATCAGGGAAGATATTTGGTTTTTGAAGTCGTGTGTTTCATGCTCAGTGTGAATAAGTTTGGGGGATTCACAAAAATATTCAGGGTGATTTGCAGAATGCTTGGTGACTTGGGAAGTGGCACAAAACATTTTTACACTTTTGAATTATTTTTAGTACAAAGAAAATGAATTTAGCTGTGGTTTCTGCATAATTAATGATCAAAGTCTTTTCATGTTCTGGAGGATTTACACTGGATTTTCTCTTTTTCTCATTAACTCTCTTGGCAATAAACTGCAATCTAGCACAAAGCGTCTGTGGAGGGGAAAAAAGGCACATTTTGGAAAGTCTGGAATGAATGAAAATCTGGCATGAATAGATACTTCCATTAAAAATATGGATAATTTTAGAATTATCATAATAATATGATACAGAATGGCAGCTATGATTCGCAGCTGGGTGAATTCCAATTGTGTCTATCTGGTGAGGAATAGATAGTAAGTAGGTGGAATGGAATCCCCATCCCATCTCTAACCCCTAAGACATCCCAAAAGTATTTTGTAAAGCACCGTTTTTCACATTTGGCAACATTAAAATGTGTGGATTAACTCAGTTCAAAAACATAAGAGAACTTAATAAAATTGATATACAGAGGCTCTAAAAATTAATTTAGTACTTTGGGTTAGGGTTAGGGTACAATGGATGTTTCACAGCTACAAGTGAGTCTTCAAGTGGCTTCAAGTGCCACATTTTTCAAAGCCCGGTTAGATGTCATTAATATATATCTCTATCTCTATCTCTATCTCTATCTCTATCTCTATCACTATCTCTCTCTCTCTATCTCTCTATCTATGTGATGCAAATGTGGAATATTATTTAGTAAACAGAAGTAGTCAGTAAAACTCAATTGTTCACATAGACTGCATGTTCAATTCCTCCAGTGCATCCTGGCAATGAAAAAAAAAAACTATCACAACCTCTTTCTTTTCATATAAATGTGTTTTATTGCAGAGACATTATATTTACATGCTGGGATACATTACTACATAAATCTATCAAATAGTTCATAGTGGATGCTGTTGATTGCTAGATTACATTTTTTTCCAGAAATACCACAGACTAAAGTGAACAGACATACAGCTTTACTTATTCTACAACTCTTAGTAGCTACAATAGTCAAAGTCAAAAGGCAGTGTTTTCTCAGGCCTATCTGTCATCGTTGTGCATGCGAAGGAGAACAGCAAATATAAAACCAATGTTTGTTTTTTAGATTCATAATGACACCAAAGCAGACAATGGGAAACTTACTTTTCTACTTTAAATCATGTACCTCTTGCATAAAATATACAGGTCTAATAAGATTGATATAAATCTATGCTTCTAGAAACCATGTCTTCAAAACAAGAAATGCAGTCTGCTCATGCATTTTCAGAAAGGCAACTTAGCAAATGATTATATGTGGTCTATACAAATCAGCTGAAAAACACCTTGTCTCCAGAGTTGCCTCTGCCTTGGCAGAAAATCTGTGGAACTCCAGAAAGGTTGGTGGGTAGGGAGACAACTAAGCCACTAACTAAGAGATGCTGGTGGAGAAGAATCTGTGATAATGGGTTACTGAGTAGGATAATTTAGGTTTGCCAGAAGATATCAATGCTTCTAATAGGCTTGTAACAATGCACGATATTATTAAGTCTGTACGTTTGGTTTTCTTTTGCTTTCTAATGTACTTATAAATTTAAGTACTCTTAGCTGTATCACAGCGATCACGTGACACAGCATTTCATTTTTCAGAGATTTCTGCAGTCAGCTTGAGTAAACCAATCCCATGCTAATAGATGGTTTGATTAAAGTGGCATAAACTTATTTAAGTGCCAGAAGAAAAGTAGGCATTATCAAAATCTGCCCTTGAGTTCCTCTGCACTGTCACTTTCAGCCTAACTTTTATGTAAGTAGATCGAACTGGAAGAGATAGAAGCAACAACCTGTCATGACTTTCAAGTGATATTTAATTTCATGAGATTAAATACTAATATTAGTATTTCCTTGAAAGGTCACAAATCAAGACATTAACTAAGACATACAGGTATTTAAAGTCTATTTGCCATTACAGAGTCATTTGTTATCTTCAGTGGCACCTGTAGGACCTATGTCAATATCAGTAGTCTTTGACAATGACAATCCTTGTAAAACTATCCCTCCCATTAAATTATTCTGAATCAAGAGTTGAATAAAAGTGTTACAGACTGGGTTTCAAAAATTGGACTATGGTTTGGGCCAGTCTCTAAATCATAAGAAAATGGACAGAAGTAATAAAGAATAGTTTAAAATTGTATTTAAATTCTAGAATTCTTAATTTATTTGTCATTTCAAAATAGGGTTTATTAATTACGAACTCTATTATTTCTAACACTATTAATTTGGAATCCGATAGAGAGAAGTATACATATATTATTTGCTTCAACAATAATTGATTCCTTGATATCCTCAACACAATCAATGCACATAAATGCATTTATAAGCCACTTTAAAATCAAGTGATCTTGAAGTTATTCCCTGGATTTAAGAATCAATAAAACTATCAGAAAGCAAACAAGATATGGTTGTGCATTCATATGTAGGTTCAATTTATACACTTTTTATCTGTAACAAAGAATACATAATATTAGCAGCATATTACATATCAAAGCATCTTAATGCAATTAAACTGTAACCATGTTGTTTACTTTAGTGCAGTGTAGCTGCACAGAATCTACACAATCGTAGGTAATCGTGTTTATACCAGGTACATTGGTGCAAACTAAAAATATTAAGGAAGGAAAAATATATGAGGAAAGTGATCTTGCTTAAAATCTGGTTGTAATTTTAGATATTATAACTGGAATAGAGAAATGGGGCATAGGATAAAAAAACAGAGAATCAACAGAATTTCAAAATCTAGATAATGTTCTCATGATTGTTTGGTATATGTCTCAATCTTCATAATTGCTAGTCTGTCTCAGTGCTAAAACACACTGAGAATCAAATGTAAACTATAACATTCATGTTAGCAAACAGTAATGTATTAAGAGGTCCTTAACATTCAATTAGCTTTTCACATAGGCACAATATTAAGCTAGTCCCTTCATCCTGGTAGTATCCATAGATGTGTGCTACAAGCTACAACAATGCAAATAATATCATGATACACATTTGTTTCTCTGCAGACATCCTTGATAGAAACTATGCTTTTCATTATAACTCTGAAAAAGATAGGTAATAGTCATATTATTTAGTTTCCTTAAGTAATTTGCTCCTCTACTGAGAAAGCTGAATTTCTGTTACAATTAAAGAAAAATTATTTCCTCCTACCTATTAAACTCCTTATCTTCAGAAGATTTCATTTGGATTCTTGAACTTATATTTTCCCTATATGATATATTTTATCTTTATGTTATCATTTACTTTTCAAAATGTCAACATGTTCTATTTTATAACATATATTTTTGTAAATTAAGAAAAATACTATTTCATTTGTGTTTTTTTTTTTAAAAAAAGGCTTCAGCTAGAGTTTTGAAATGCAAAATATACACTCCTGAAGGCAAGTTGAATTGCACTGTTATTGTGAAAATCTCCCCACCTGACATATTTCTGTACATTTCTTCTTGCTAATTTGTCCTCTGGTCTTGGAGTAGGTGTGGCTGTGATTCTGAGCTCTTCACCAGTCTTACACAGAGCAATCGGCCTCAAGAAAATAGATTCCTTCCAGGTATCTTGGAATACAATCTGTAATCCAATATGGATATTGGATATCCATATTGGATTGTGACCCAACATAGCTGGAAGGTGTTTGATAGTGGGAAGCAGATACAGACTAAAATGCACTTTTCTCTTTTCCTTCTGCTCATTCTTAATCATGACAATTCCTTGTTGTCCTGTTACTCTCTGAGACTGGTACTGTATTTCATAGCCCATAGGAAAAACTTTTTGTCCAAAACAAAAAGTTTTTCCTATAAAATATTCCTATTATATAGTTTTTCCTATATAATAAGTTTTGCAAATTATTTATTATAACGAGTGAGTGTACTGTATTCATGCTAAGGGGTGAGGGTTTACAAGAAAAAAGCAGACTTCTGAGGTTTTATGAAGTTTTAGCCAAATTGTACACTATATTTCCCTGAATTGATTCCCTGGAATTTTTAAAAGTTCTATCAGAACTTTATGGAAAAATAATTAAAGTGCATTTCTCTCACATAGCCCTAATCAGCATACCGCTCCCCATACCACTCTAAAATCACTTGAATGGGAGGAGGGAATGGGCTCACATGGATATTATGGGCAACCATTTATAGCAATGAATAATATAATTGACTATACAGTTCAGAAATTCCAATCTTTTTCTGATGTTGGAGCTTCAATTGCAGTTGGAGCTTCACAGACCAAAATGATTTTCTTTTTTAAATTAACTCCCTTTGAAATGAATGTTGTTGTTGTTTTAATCATATTTGCCACTAGCTTGTTCTTAGGCAAGGCTAGGTTTATTTCTTGCTCCAATTGTTGAATTCCAACTCTTATCCAACATGGGTATAGGTTAGGAATTATGTAATTTTATTGACCAATAATACCCAGAGTATTATGTCACAGATGTTTATCCCTCTTCAATTCAGATGAGCACATATGGAATAATCCAGTTATGCAACAGATGCTAAAATCATTGGGAGTATCAAGCATCTTATCTATATTTGATTCTATAATTAGGGTTGCATTTATAACCAGAGTATCATATGATATGGCTTTTAGTCCTTTCGTTGTCCAAAACAGAATATGAATTTCTGTATAAATATATAAATAAATAAATATTCTGTTATGTGTAATCAGTAATTGTATAAGTATGGACTATTCTTTACACAATCTTGCACTGTAGCTTATCTTTGCCTGGCTGATGCATAATTTATTCTTGAGATAACATTCAATTCAATTCAAAATGTTAATTAGCTAGAAATTAGTAACAGATCTGTTTACATGATCATCTCCAGCTTTACCTTCTCATCAACATAAATAAAATAATACATATTGAGCACAGTATGCACATTTTTATGGCAGAGCCAAGTTGTGTGTGTGGGGGGGGGGGGATGTACCAATTATTTCTGGCTATCTCCCATCCATGAAGTGTCCAAGAGTTGACCTGCTTAGCTTCAGCAGTGGCACTGCATCATATGCTTTCAGATCATCTCCCTATCAAAGCAAGGATTAAGGAGATGCAGCTTAAAAGCTAGTGTTATTCACTGCATAGATTTGATTATTATTTCATATGATGTGAATGGGGGAATCATCATGACTGTTACTTTAAGAGATCCAAATCAAGACTTGAGTCATAGGCAAACCAGTCACTGATACTTGAATGAAGGATAATATGAACTCTTCTCATTCCATGTAGCAACACTGAATAACTGGCAGCTGACTCCACCTTCAGCTCTGGTGATGGGACAGCATCTTCACACCTGAAGGCAAGAAATCAGTTGAAAGAAAGCAAGGCAGATAATGTGGCTCACTCCAAGGATCTGCCACTCAGTTCATCTGCCCCATTCTGCCTAATGGTAGAACCGAATTTTATTGAAGCCGGTAAGAGGCTGAAAGCTCCTCTCATCCGTGCTTCTTTCCCCCTCTATTCTTTAATGCTTTGTGCAAACAGTAAGTGATGCAACATCCCTGCACCATTAACTGATTCAACTTGATTCTTGTCTCACATCACATAATGTTATCTCATGGGACCTGAGCATTACGCAGAGTAATGATGCCATATCATGCATTCCATTACAAAAAAAAAGAAGAAGAAGCAAAAAGATAACATTTCTAAAAAAAATAATAATATTACAACTCTCCCTTGATAACTATTTTTGTGAGGGAGCAAACCAGAAAAGTCATGAGTTATTTAGTCAACAGGAGCTGAAACTTTGTTCTCTGATAGGCTAGGAATTCCTTGGTGGATTTCAATAAGATATTCATCAGAGTTTGATGAAGATGAGGTCTCCCCAGTTAAACAGAAAGGGATAAATAAAATGCCAAATGTGTAAAACAGGTTTTTGAAAACACAACAGCTCTACATTTTTGGCTAGAATTAGTGGAAGTCTGCAATGCAGTCTTGATGGGTTGCCTATATTACTCTGGAAAATCTTCCACCTTGCAGGAATTCCTTTCCCATCCCCATTTAAAGACATTCTTTAACTTTTCAATGCTCTCATTCTAAACGAATCAAACCTGGCAATGCTCCCTCAGCTTGATACACGGTTGAGTGCAACATTTTTAGTCAAGAAAGAAATTCAGCAGCAGAATTTTGTCCTTAAACTACACCACATACCATAAGGCAAAACTGGGCTCCTCCTTACAACAGGAGAGTAAGAAGAGGCTGGGGGCTTTAAACAAGCAAAACTTACAATCTCCAGGGTGGGACCTGGCAATCTTAGATTAAAGTGGGGTGTGCCAATAAGGTAGACTCTTCACTTTAAGTATACCTGAATATTAAAAGTGCTATAAAGTGACTAAAAATAAAGAATTACTTAAACGATGCAGATTAAGAGAACACTGCATCATCTGCTAATATACTCGGAAGTAAACCATACTGAATTCAGTAGGGTTTATTTCAAAGTAAACATGCATAAGACACACCTGTACAAGTGCATGACAAGTGATGTAGTAATAGTGCATGTCGGTTAGTGTTTCCCCCCCTACTTCCTCACTTTAGTTTAACAGTACAATACACATTTAATCATAATCATTTAGTCTCTCTTTCTAAAATGAATTTGGACAGCAATGAAGAGGGGGGGAAAAACTATTCACACTAATCAGAATATATTTTTTCCTACCTCCCAGCATTTCCTCTATGATTTCAAATCAACATAGTGTAAGACACCAAGCAAAATCATTAGGATTAAAGTCGAACTCTTGGAATGTTAAATAACTTTTCCCAATTTTCTAAAGTAACAACAGAAACATTATCCCCAGATTTATTTTAGAATAGTGCCCTCATTTCTAAGCATCTAGCAGTAATAAATTAATTAGGATTGTGATTAATCTGAAATATAGCTTCTGCTAGTATATATCATTTATGGACAAGAAATATATCTCATATAAAAACCCCTGAATTACTACATAAAGTCATAACTAAAAATAACAATTAAAATAGCAAACCCCAATATAAATCATGACAAAAAGTGTTTTCTTATAAGCTGCTAAGACCTTACAGGTGGGAGGTGAGGGGTTTGAAATAAACAAAGACCTAGCACAGGGTGTTTTATTTTTTGAAGACTGCAACTTTAGATATCTGCAGGTTGCATAAATGTGTTGTGTCATATAACCATATCAAAGTTATTTGCAAACATTATACAAACTGGAATGCTTTAATATGAGACACAACCACATACATACGTTCATAAGAAAAACAGAGCCGTTATATAAAAATCTAATTAAGGGAATGCATTAAGTTAGCTGTGCCATTGAGGTTAAAGAGAGGAAAAAATATAATTTCTGGAATGGGTACGCAAGCTATCTCCAGATGTTAAAAAGTTAGATTTTTCTCTAGCTGGTGCTCTCCAGATGTCTTGAACTCAGGCTGAATACATTGCTGTCTCAAAGAGTAGGGCACTGCTCCCTATTTTCATGCCTAACAGCTAACTGGATTGACAATGTTTCTTTAACCCAGGTGGGAGATAGCCTCTTCCAATCAAGGCTATGAGGCATTCAAAAGAGGCTGCCCTATCATCACAGGGCACATTTCAACCCTTTAATTTCCTAGTCAGCACCATCTCTTACCTTCCTTGGAGGGGCATTATGGAATTGAAGTCCAGCACATCTGGAGAGTTCCAGGTTTGGGAAGGCTAGTTTCAAGATTTATCTGATTCTACGCCTTTTGTGAGGGTTTTTAGTATAGAGTGAATTTCTGCCCGTGTTAAACCAATCGTAGTCTTAAGGACTAGTGTAACGAATGTTAAGATAGTCTTCTTGCCAACCCCACATATTTTACAAAAGAAAGAAAGAAAGAAAAAATTACTAAAGGCATATTTTTTTCCCTCATCTGAAATGTAAACTTGTTAGGGGCACGAAGGGACTTCATGTCCTGAATTGCACTGATAACGTTGTTGGCACTCAAGAACAAAGAAAAGACAAATCGATTTTTGCTTAGTTCCTATGTGCATCTCTGGTGAAATGAGGCTTCTTTAAGAATTTGCAGGTTGTACTAACTTTAGCCCCCCCACTCCTCCTCTCCCCTCCCTTTCTTCTGTGGCATCTCTTTTTCACAGTCTGTCTTCTTATTTCTGATGCACCTCTGCTTTATTTGAGCTTAAGTTGGTTGTGTTTGATAAAGTTGTGTTTCTTTCTGCTTTTGATAATTCTGGCCCCTCGAATTCCCAAGGGCAGATTTCCACACGAGACATTAAAGGTTTCTGTGAATTATTAGTTGCCGATCTAGCAGGATTAGAAGGAAATGCATTCCCTGGTGGAGAGGAAGATGCATGTTTTGTCTGAATTCCTAGTTTATTGGTAAAATCTTTCTCTGTGGTTTGAATGATTGCTTTGGTGGTCATGTCCTTGGAATCTTCAGCACAAATAGTCTCTGTATAATGTTTGCTACTAATATTTTCACTTTTAGTCCCAGAAATTTCTTGCAGAGCTTTGGGACTCCAATTTTTTTCTTCTTCCACCTCATGTTCTTCTTGAATCTCCCAAGGACTCACGTCACCTTTCTCGGTTCTCTTTTGAAGCGGTATCTGGTACACTTCAGTAGTTTTAAGTTGAGACTGGTCCTTTGTTGGAGAAGGGTGGAAGGTCTCTGAGTCAGAAGAAGCAATAGAGACATGCTTTTGAATTTTAGAATCAGAAAGTCCTATCTCTGGAGTCTGGTCATACATTTCCCAAGGACAAATTTCTTCTATGTCAACACTTGTCTTCAGCAGGCATTTACCAGCTCCTGCATCAAGAATGGACTTTTGTTGTTTCATTATCCCAGATTTATGAGGCTTCTTTGACTCTTCAGCTTTGGTTGAATTTCTTCGATAGGAATCTTTATGGTCAGTCTTTTCAGAGCTGGAGTGCTTTTTGCTGATCTCTTTGCTCTTTGGTTGAGACTTTTGAGGCTTGACACTTTCTTCATTTTGTGTTTTCCCTCCTAACCCCACAGTTTTCTCTTTGGCACTGGCAATAACACTAAGTGATTTCTGTAACACGGATGTTTTTGGATGGAGAGGTTTCTTATCTGCACTTAAGTTGTGAGCACTCATAGATTTACACACCAAGGGGACATTTTCGATAGACCCAGCTTCAGTTTTTTCTACAGGTTTTTGAGTTGCTTTGTTTTCAGAAAGAGAATCCAATAATGATGTCTCTGCAGTTGAAATAACCTCCCCACTTTCTGTGGTTAAGCTTTTTGAATCTTCAGTTGGGTCTCGGACATGGTCATAGGTGCTGTGGGACTTTTTTAAGGAGAAAACTCTGTTTCTCAAAGATTCCTCTTTTGGTTTGATGGGTCCACTACAATCTGGTGGATTTTTCCTTGCCATGGCAATGTTTTTGGAACTCCCGTGTTCCAGAAAATCTTTTTCCTCCCGTGAACATTGCCTAGTGACAGTCTCAGGAATTTCAGTAATTCGTCTCATGATTGAGCGACCCAAACCTTTTTTTGAGCATCTCTTTTTCTGGAGATGTGGATTATTGGTGATCATTTTTTTCCTTTTATAGATCTCCAACTGGGCATACAATTTCTTCAATTCATCCTGCAAAGTAACAGACAAAATGAGTAAAGATCATGTATATTCTGCAAAAGTCAACCTAGAATGGAACATGGAGAAGTCAACTACAAATCCATTTGTAAAATATCTTCATTTATCAATTGGCATAAGCTGCTTAGGATCATTTAAGCAGGCAGCATGTAAATAATTGTAATAAATCAATAAGTAAAGTCAATATTATTTCCCATGATGGTACAGTGGTTAGAATGCAGTATTGCAATAATCCAAAAATTCAATCCTGAATGGTCATGGTTGACTCAGCTTTCCATCCTTCCGAGGTTAGTAAAATGAGGACCGAGATTGTTGGGAGCATGTTGGGGGCAATATGCTGACTTTGTAAACGACTTAGAGCAGGGGTGTCAAACTGGCGGGCAGCAGGCCGGATGCATCATGGCCTGAACATGATGTTCAGGCCATGCCTACCCCAGCTCCGTGAAGGGAAAACCATCGTGATACATCATGTGACAGCAACGTGACACTGCAAGTTTGACACCTGTGATTTAAGGAGTTCTGTATACACAGTATAGCCTTTATTGTCATTGTACATCATGTATACAATGAAAGTGGTTGTGCAATTAAAAAGCACTATAAAGTGGCATATAAGTATAAGTTCTATTGCTACAATCCATGTGAGTGAATCTATGTATGGAGAAGACTCCTAGAATCTACCATCAAGTGAATACTTAAAAATAAAATAACTTAGATTCTGTAATCATTACAATTTGTAAAACAGAGTTTCACAAATAATGTAGAATATTATTTTTTGCTATCAACATTTATCACTATCAACTTATCAGTTTGCATAAAATAAACAGTTGGTCTCAATCTTAATTCATATTCTATGTATTGATTTTCATGGTTTAAAACTCATTTGGATTTCTGCAGTCCCTATCAAAATACAGGAGATCATCTGTTCTGAAAGAAAAAGGAAGTGAAAAACTAAATTCAGTCTTTCATTCAGATTCTCTCTTCCTGAATAGATAATCAGCAGAACTATGTAAAGCCTGTTCCCCCATTTATATACAGTATGAATTTTCTTATAGACTGGGATGACTTATAAAGAACAGGTACCATGATCCTAAAACTTTTGAATACAGGCACAGAAATCATTATCATATATAGATTTGCAGATATTAAAAATCAACTCTAAGCCACTTTGATCTCATACCTTCAACTGGGTTAGAGAGCCAAATTCCCTCTTGAATTACTGTGGATCTACAGAATATATGAGCAGTTTGGGAACTCTTGCCTCACTCTGTCTCCTAGGCCTTTTAACATCCTTTTCCTAATGAGTGTCTGTAGACATTGTTTATAATTTATCTGCTTTTCTCTTCATACCAGCCACATATCAACAAGCAATTAATATTTGCTTGTCCCTATAGTTAGAGATATTGGGGGAAAATGTCTTTATAGCTGCAAGAAGCTTTTAGATGTAGTAAGAATAGCAGCTTTGCAGCTAGGAGCTTCCTCTTATAATCATCACTCAGATTTTGAGAGGAGCAAACAAAAAATGCACGCAGCGTAAAGACTGTGAGGAGGTCCTAACAAATTATTTCCCTTTTGTATATACTGGAGATAAAGGAAATTTTGATAGGAAAGGCAGGAGATGCCTCAAGATAAGGCATTAGTTGAGTGACATTGTTTGCAACTCTCTATTGATCAGCTGGAGAGAATACAGTACTTTTTACGTGTTTTCAAGATTTTTAGGTTGGCAGAACTAAGGACAATTGAAAGCTGGCCTCAAATAACTTTTTGAAGGATTAACAATTAAAACACTTACAGATTAAAAGAATTTAACATTGCCAGCAGTGAGTTGAATGTCAATGCACAATTAGTAACTCCTAAATCAGAGATAACCCAGACCCAGACATCATCAAATCACAATCCCTAATGCTCATCCCAAGCAAAGCTTAAGGATGGCCCAGTTCTTTTTTCCCCACAGTAACTCTAAAATTTCAGCGACCCATGAAATCATGCCTAAGCCGTGAGCTACAGTGGTGCAGTGGTTAGAGTGCAGTACTGCATCCTACTTTTGCTGACTGCCAGCTGACTGCAATTTGACAGTTCAAATCTCATCAGGCTCAAGGTTGACTCAGCCTTTCATCCTTCCGAGGTAGATAAAATGAGGACTCAGATCGTCGGGGGCAATATGCTGACTCTGTAAAAAAACCGCTTAGAGAGAGCTGTAAAGCTCTGTAAAGCAGTATATAAGTGTAAGTGCTATTGCTATTGCTAAGAGAGATAGTTAGCTCCATGCTAATAAGTTGTTTTTTTCCAATTAAGAATTCTACTTGGCTCCCTCTTTTTCATTAGTGAAAGACTGATTTTTGAGAGGAGGCTGTGATTATCAATGTATAATCTTGGCTGCCTGGAGGCCGTGCGGGTCTGGATGGGGAGGAACAGGCTCAAACTCAACCCTTCCAAGACTGAGTGGTTGTGGCTCCCGGCGTCCCGATATAGTCAGCAGGTGCCATCGCTGACTATTGGGGGTGAATCCTTGCCCCCCACAGAGAGGGCTCACAATCTGGGTGTCCTCCTGGATGCACGGCTGTCTTTAAAAGAGCATATGACGGCCGTGGCCAGGGGGACCTTTTATCAGGTTCACCTGATTCGCCAGTTGCAGCCCTTTCTGGACCGGGACGCCTTGTGCATGGTCACTCACGCCCTTGTCACCTCCCGGCTGGACTATTGTAATGCTCTCTACATGGGGCTCCCCTTGAAGAGCACTCGGAGGCTCCAGCTGGTCCAGAATGCGGCCGTGTGGGTGGTTATGACACCCCTCCTGCGCGAGCTGCACTGACTCCCAGTGGTCTTCCGGGTGCGATTCAAGGTGCTGGTCACCACCTTTAAAGCGCTTCATGGCATAGGACCCGGGTACCTTCGAGACCGACTTCTGCCACCAATAGCCTCCCACCGGCCAGTTTGCTCCCACAGAGAGGGCCTCCTCAGGGTGCCATCGGCCAAGTTATGTCAGCTGGTGACACCCAGGGGGAGGGCCTTCTCTGTGGGTGCCCCAGCCCTGTGGAATGGACTGCCCCCGGAAATACGTAAGATCTCCGACCTTCGGGTATTTCGTTGCGCACTCAAGACCCTGTTGTTCCGCCAGGCTGGGCTATCAACATAACAATTTTAAATTGGGTTTTAAATTTCTAGGGTTTTAAAAATTTAGCCGAATTTACTTATTAATTTTAAACTATTTTAACTGATGTTGTTTTGTGTTTTTAATAGGCTGTACACCACCCTGAGTCCTTCGGGAGAAGGGCGGTATAGAAATAAAATAATAATAATAATAATAATAATAATAATAATAATAATAATAATAATAATAATTATTATTATTATTATTATTATTATTATTATTATTATTATTAAGAACCTCAATCAAATCTCAGTCCATGGCAGATCAAGTTGGTTATTCCATAGAGTTGCAATTATTTGTCTATTATTTCATTCCTTTCTATTAAGGTGCGGAAGGTGGGGGAGATTATAACATAAGCATTCTATGCAGTCCAAAAATATAATACATAATGCTGTTTGTAGTTAATTTGGGAGATAGATAGATTTTACGAGAACTAACTTATTAACTAACTAATGAACTAACCACTTTGGGTGGTTCAGGGGTAGGGAATTTGTGGTGGATGGGAGGGGTGTTTGGGGATTGTTATGTGTGTTGGGCATGGTCTTTGGGTGTTATGTGAATTTTGTTGTATGGGTGTACTGTGTATATACGTACAATGACAATAAAGTTATCCTTATCCTTATCCAGGATTTTATCTATATTAAATTGAAGACCCTTCTGTAAAGGTTTTTTTTTCTTAAAAAATCATGTAATTTACTAAATTGGAAAGTACCCTAATGTCTTCTGGATCCAAACTATGTTCACTCCATGCTGAATTGATACTGCTATTCAGATAAGATCCAGATCTACCCATGTCGAGCTCATCTTCATAGACTTCAGTAGCCATATCATCTCGCGGATTGTTGCTTGAATGGGAAAACTGTAAAAATATGTTAAGTTTTTGCTAAATAAATATAAGGAGGTGTAAGCATAAGAAAGAAATCAAGGAATGTGCACCTGTTCAACCACCCACCCTCATTTTCATTTGGGAAAATTTGTAAGGCACATTTTGACATTCAAAAACTTAACGTTAGGCAATTTCCTAATTAAATGAAGATTAGTTGCTGGATATCAACCTGTTGGGAAATCAAAGTACATGTTATCAGGCAAATTAAAGATTGGAGCTTCTAGGGTTACAAAGGTGTTTGAACAGGGACTCGTTAGATTCCATACAGTTCTCTAATTACAACCACTCATTAAATAGCTGTTCAAAGTTACGACATCACTGAATAAGGGGGACCTGCAACCAGTCTGTCGCCATTGCAGCATCCCCATGATTACAGGAGCATGATCTGGGTGCTTAGCAAACAGCCAGAATTCACATGATTGTGAATTCCGATGTTCCCTGGGCTTCCCATAAGCAAAGTCAATTGGGAAGCCAGAAGGAAATTGGAAGTCACCCCTGTTTCTGCTGCTTTTTAACCTGCCTGCATTCTAGAGTGTCAGCTATAGAAAAAACCGCTCCCATGATACATGGTCTATAATACCTGTCTTGAGTGCACTAGCCTGTGCTTGAGTGCCTCACCCATGTTCCAAAGCATCTGACCACACTCAGTCATACACCCAGTTATGCACCCTCTAGCCAGTGGCACTCAACGTTCCCATGCACTTTGGAGCCCAGAGCACCAGCCTGCCCTTCATGCCATCCATGCACCCATCTGTGCTCTGGAGGACTTATCCATAACACCTTCCCATCCCGTTGCCACCTAAGCATCAGCGGGGAATACTATCCGGGACTGATGCCTCTTCCCATTAACAAGCAGGACTGCAGAATTGCCATCTCCAAGCAAGGTGATCATGTAACAACTGTTTTATCTACATAGTAAATATATATGTAGTTCCTATAGTATGCATGTTTCTTCATATCTGACAAAATAAAAGTGTAAAGGACAATACCTTTGGAATCAGAAGTAACCCAACAGTGACTGTCACAGTCAAATGTGTGTGTGCAAAGAATAGCATCAGCATCCAATCAGACTGGAGTCTTGAAGCAAGACTGAACCTGCAAATCAACATTTACATATAAGTACTAAATACATTTCCCCCCACATTTTTTGTCATGTGGATTTTTTTTTAAAAAAAATTCTGAACGATGTTTATAAGAAAAAAAAATCTGAATATAAAGATACTAGCCTTGCATTGTTCTATTAAGCATGGAGGTTTGTGTGTCAATTTCTCAGCACACATACTCACATCCCCATTTTGTTGTGTCAGAGTGGAAACGTGCACACAAGTATTGTGTGCATTTGGCCCATTGTTGCTTCTGTTTTGGGAAAAAGGCATTAAAAACTACAGCATGATAGGAATTTTATGTATTTAATATCATACGTATTGGATGAAGCTGATTATTTTAATAAAGCTTCAAACCTGGGTTTATTTAAGATGGTAGAATTTGATGGGAGAGAAGAATATTTTTGTTAATTCTGCTCATGCACAGTATCCCCCTGGGACATCTGTCCATTATACGATATATAAAGCGGTGTTATGTTACAGTAGCTGTGATTTCATGACTGCACACAATGATGCAAAGGGTGGAACCTTTAGCTAATGTGACATATATCTTACTTACATTACGATTAGAATATTACAACACATTTAGTATAATGTAGCCTTAAAGAAAGTGTAAATGTCATAAAATATTACAGTTATATTGTCAATATAATGTGTCAGTTGCATTGGCTTTGAATTCATTTATGGGTCCAATATATATTACATACCACATGATAAATGGATGATCTATCTCACATGAACTTATACATCAAGTAACATTATTTTCAGATCTTGCCATGCAAAGATGTGTGGTGATGAAAAGTGAAGAGATGAAAAAAGCTGTTTGCAGAAGTAATAGGCAGGCATTGTACAATTTGCATCCATTTGAGACTATTTGTAAAGCTTTTCTTAATTTGTCTGGAGAGAAGGGCTTTTGTTGTGCCCTTCTGACATGCATCTCAACCCAGTTAATTGTTTTAGATTGCATACTAAGAACTTCAAAATAAACAGTGTGGGTCACTTGCCTAATTATATGGAATATAGCAGAGATAATGAGCTCAATGTGAACTGCAACAGCCATATAACGTGGCTCGTGAAACGCCGAGGGTACTGTCCGCACTGCATAGCAGAGATAAACGCTCCATAAGAGAAATAAAAATTCAGCTGAAAAAGAAATAAATGTTTCCATTAGTATTTGTGGAGGGGCATTTAAAATGATGATCCGTTCTCTGTTTGGAAACATGCACATACACTTTCTGGCATCAGAAGCATCACATAATGCTGCTTTTCTTCTTATTTAATCTTCAACCATCTGATAAATGTAGTTTTACATATTAAGCACAGCCACAATATTTATTTCAATAGAAACATGTTGGTTCCGCAAAGGAAGATGAGATTTACTTTCTTCTCTGAGTAACAAAGAAATTTAATAGGGATACATTGAGTTTGGTAGTCTTACACAAACCCTTGTACAATTCTAAAATTCTGTGTTGCTCCAAAAAAAATTTGGATGGAACAATATGTGTTCCATATTGACCATGGAGATAAGCAATTCATTTCCATCATAACCAGCAGGGGTTTGTCCCATTAATGCCAACTGTTTATAATATCTAGGTATGTAGCATTGCACATGAATGTCCACAATGAATAAGTATTTAAATACAAGAATGGTTTATTTATTAAGCATTGTGGTGCATTGGATCTAAATTTACAAAAAGTGTTTCAAAGCATGCAAGAGAGAAAGAAGAACTGCTTTAAGATATTGTAGATAGGTGCTACACTTCTGTTCCCGTATGCTCCAAAAGCATATTTTGGAGACTGAAACTGAAGCACTGTTCAGCTCTATTTATTTTTGCTTTATTTTAAAGAGGAAAGATTTAATTTCTCTGCTTTAAAAGCACCCAAAGTAGCTTCCAAAAAAAAAAAAAAAAGCATCAGAAAACCAATTAGTCTGATAAGGCAAATAAAAGTCACAGTCGAAACCCAGTAAAAGGAAAAACATATTAAAATAAAACTAATCCTGCTTGCTAAAAGTCTTCAGTAACAGAAAACATTATTACATTTCAATAACCACCCAGGAGGGAGGAAGCCATATGCAAGAAAGGAAGCTCCATAGAGACTTAGATTATGAACTTTTTTATTATGTCCTATAAAGAGGGGTAGAATTATTAAAAGCAAAACGAAATTAAACTAGGTGTTGCAGCAGAAAAAGCTAAAAAACAAACAAACAGCCCTCTAATTCACTTCACTTTCTCTACTAGCTTTCTGCTGAATTTTGCTATCCCGTTATTCAAAAGCCAAGTTCCTGTTTGAAAAAGATGGCAGACCTCTATACAGTATTAGCTCAACACATCAGAAGAGGTTCCCCCCCCATAAACAATTAACTAGCCTTTTTTTTTTTCGTTTACTAAGTCAGCATTTGTAAATGAAGGACAAAATGTAGTATATATTGCCATAGGAGCAATAATTAAGGGTATGCATTTTAATAGAAGATACGAAACAAAGGAGTCCTGGTTTCTTCAGGCAAATACATACACATATGTCCAGGAGAAGTCATCTATGTAGCAATGAGATGTATGCTAAAATATAACTATTACATATGCCCTTGGAACTAGCTCAACTAGTTAGGAAATTGATCCTGCAGTAGAGTTGTCCATGTTGCTTGACATGAAGATACACACAATTATTAGATGGCAAAGAAAGTGAAGAAATACGGCATGATTTAGCAAAAAAAGAGAGATTTAACTTCACCCCTAAGATCCTTTGCTTGCAAAAGTGGAACTGTCTGAATTCCTGCATAACTGTGCTACCAAGAACAATATAATAATTTGTCATTGCTTCTTGTCAATAATACAATCTTAGAATATTTTTTAAAAGGTACAACTAAAATATTAAGCAATTCAGTTTTACCGATATGCAGAACAAAAATCAGATTTCCCTTGGGACAAACACTGGAATTTTGTGGTGCTTTGAAATTGAAAATTCCCCAAGACAATTTGGATGACAGTGATTAGGATGCTAAAATTTTCACTTCCTCTTCTGTGTCTCCTTTTTCCCTGTCTTTGTTCACATCTCCAGTGGAAGATGACTACGCCTCCTTAGGCCAACACCACTTTTTGAGATCAGTGATGCATGTAACTTATGGCAAACATACATGTGAGGAAAAATATGCAATATTTACTTCCCTACAGAAGCTCCAATTACTTTGCTTCTTGTCAATAAATGGGTCTCTCTCTCTCTCTCTCTCTCTCTCTCTCTCTCTCTCTCTCTCTCTTTGTCTTTCTGTCTCTTTGTCTTTCTGTGTCTGTTTAACATTGAAGCTATCTCAGGATAGAAGAAAACTCTTTTTATATTAATCCATTTAGATCTTCTCAACCCTGGAAACTTGTCTTTGGGCCAGATTCAAATTGGCATTTGCAGAATCAAGATATCAAATAGGGCATTTTAAGAAGTGGACTATCAAGAAGTATCACTCCACATTGGGGGGAGGGGGCACACTGAAGATATGATTCAATATTTGAAATTAGGTTGGTAGAAATATTTGCGTTTTATTCCAAAAGTCCTCTTCAGAACAAATGGATGTGTGAACATATCACCTCTATGCCACTCTTTAAAGAGGTTGCAATTTTGCCCAAGATTACATGGCAGACGGGATCTGTGCAATTCAAGAAAATGAGGGGGCTGCTTTAAAGAATTGGGAGTGGGGCTGGGCTCATGCTCTTGGTTTTGTGAAACATCCTTTTCTAAATGATTTCTTCTTGACACCTCATGGCCAAAGCAGCAGAAGAGACAAGAAATCTGTCTGGAACTTAAGAAGAATAGCAAACCTCAGCTACGTTCATCACCACCATTATTACCTCTGCTATAAAAAAAAAAAAAAAAAAGCCCACTTCTAGATCTCAACAGATGGCATTGGTTAATTGAAGGAACTTGGAGCATACCAATCCTACACATGAAATCAGCCAGGCAGATGTCATGGGAAGCAGAGAAAGTAACCAGACTATAGTGAAGCCTATGGACTTCATATCTTAAGTGCAAAAACAGCTGTTCTAGTACTGTTGGAAGCATTGGAACTCAAAGCATAGTGTTTTAAATTTGAAATAAACTTATTTTGAGGCTGAACATCATGTATTTCACACAAGAGAGGTGTTGCTGGGATTCTTCCAGTTCTAAGTGGTTCAGACCTGAAATGTTTTCATACTCCTAGTTTTCTATATAATAATGTTCTATTCTGTAGCCTTCTATGTTAGCCTCCTTTATCATTAGTTCAACTATGTTGCATTATTCAAGAAAAGATAGTTTAGTCTATGTAGGTATTTTGCCAAAGAATAAATATAAGCATCTGTACTAGCAAAAGTTGTATTAATCTTATTTATTTATTTACTGGGTTTGTATGCTGCCAATCAACCACTATCTCTGGATGGCTTAAAATGTGTAGAACTATAAAATTTAAAAAAACCCCACAATAACCATAATAACAATAAAGCAAATATAAATAAATAAATAAATAAAAATAAATGGATAAAACAAAGAAGGAAAAGAAATCATAGATCTGGAAAAACCACTTAACAAAAGAGTAATTCCCCAGCATGAGGGATGCATATTATTGTTGGATCCCAAAGTCTTACTGAAACAACCAAATATTATTGGCTTTATGTAAATCGAAAAATGTTGGGGGAAATCTGATCTGATCTCTAGGAAGATACTATTCCAGAGAACAGTGATAAAGATTGCTTGCTCCCAAGATTCTGATAGATGACATTACATAAGGGTGGGAACCCAGGAAGGAATCTGTTTTGGGGATCTTCATGGGTGATAGAATTCACCTGAAGATACTCAAGATCCAACCAGGTAGACCTTTAAAATAAAAGCCAGCACCTTGAACTGTAATCTAAAGCAGAACTGTGTTTCAGTAAATATTTGGGGAATCAATAACTATTAACTTGGTGATTAGAGGCTATTAGCTTTGCTGGATATGTGTCTGCCTCTGAAGGCCATCTGTTGGAATACCAATGGACTTCCTTGGGTAGTTGGTTGGCCATGTGAGAACAGGTTACTGGCCTAGATGAACCAGAGATCCAGTCCAGCAGGGCACTACGTATGCTGTTTTTAAAAGCTAATAATTCACCGCTGCTCACCAAGGTCAACAAAAGAACCTATTCTAACAATACTATTAAGCCCCACATAAGCCCTGTAAAAGGATGGGTTACTGCATTGGAAAAAAGTATGCGTGTGGGGGGGAGGGAGAGAGATATGGGGAAAAAAGTTTGGTGTAGGAGTTAAGGTGCGGGACTAGAAACCAGTAGACTGTGAGTTATAGATCTCCCTTAGGGACTCAGCTGAATTATGGTACTTTGAGCCAGTGGGGGGAAAAATAGGTAGAGGGAACATTATGTGCAGTCTTTGACTTGTACAAAATAATAATGATAATAGTTGTTAAGTTTGGCAGTTGGCTATTAGCACCACCCTGGCACAAATTTTGTTCAAGTGGTGATAACATGCTTTTACCAGTCCAAAAAATGTCAAGAACCCTTGAATTATAGGCTAGTATTCAGATCAAACAGGAATCTATTAAATATATGCCTAGAAAATGGAAATGCTTTGGCGGCTGAAAAATAATTAGATTTATCAGGATCCTACAAAAATCAAAACCCATTTCCAGCACAAGCTAGTTTAAGTATGTATATCTTTGCACTAAGCCTAAAATTACACTAGTATAATTAGCAGTAATGAACATATCATTGTACTTGAAAAAAACAATTTATTACCCAAAGCAACAATTACCCAACTTAGATGTATCCTGTGAAATTATGTTGTAGGGTGAGGAATTAGCTTCATATAATTAATTCTAAGCTAACATCACAATTTGCATAGGAAAGTCTGCAGATGTTAACAAAATATAAGCATTTTTTATGTTACAATTGGACCATGAGCCATAATTCTGATTACACAATAAGAACAAGGAGGCACTTTAATATGACTTGTTATTCTGATCCAATTATAAAGGCAGTACAGTATGTTCTAAGATCAGTACAGAGAACTGCTAATGCTACAATCTTTGTAATACAACCACTTATTTAGCAATTTTGTCAAAAATAATTGGCTGAAACCCAAGGCTGAGAATTAACACATAGGACTGTCTGAGGAGCTAGTCCAGTACAATA